TCTGGCTGATAGTACCCCATGCTGTTCTGTCGTGTTTCTAAAGCTTCTGTGCTTCTCATTACCTTTATCAATATTCTCCTCGTGCACCCAGGCTGCCTCCTGTTAGTAGGACGTGCAGTGAATGGTGAAGCCGCTTGCTAAATCTCAAACATGCTGCCTCTCTTTAGACTTCAGAGCTGGCTGTGCCAGGGGCACTAATATTATCAAGCCTGGCGTCATTCATTCAATCTGATGGGCCTCATCTCTCCATTTCTCAGTCACGGTTGGGGGATTTTTGAATCATATTATTGTCTGATTTTAGCTTTATAGATTTTCTGTTAGGAAGTGAGTCACTTTTCCTCTTTCTTTCTCTGACTGCGGTCCTTCCTTTGCTTCAGGGGTCCTGGTAGCTCAGGGTCTGCTTGTCAAAGCCCTTGGTTATATTACTTGTTTCTTAGTCTCTGGTCAGGGTAATCCCTGTTCTCAGTAGATACATAAAATCCACAATTAATGTTAAAAGAGTGATTTCTAGTGATGTCACTTCCCTTTAGTCTGTCTGGCATTTAAGGCTCTCCTTTACTTGGGATCCCATGCAGTTGGTGGCTTCTGTTCAGTGACCTGTTAGGACTGGCCCTGCTTATTCACTGCTGGATAATTTCAGCCAAGATGCTTTCGTTTGGTCATAAAATTACCATATTTTGAGGAGATCAGGAACTTTTTTTTTTTTTTAAGGGAAGGAATGTGTCTTACCAAAAACTGCAAGTTTAATGGTTAGAGCTCCTAGACACAGGATGTGAAAGCCTGAAAGGAGCAGGCAGAGAATGTGTACGTGAAGAAATCAGAGGTAAAAATCGGGAGTGAGGGTGCCAGAGGCAGAGGGGAGGGTGCACGCCCCACCTAACACATTCAAAGTCGATGTAAAACAATCAGGCCCAATTCTGGTCAGGGCTCCTCCTTATTTTTATTTATTTATTTTTTTGTTGAGGAAGATTGGCCCTGGACTGACATCTGTGCCAATCTTCCTCTATTTTCTATGTGGGAGGCTGCCACAGAATGGCTTGATGAGTAGTGTGTAGGTCCACGCCTGGGATCTGACTCTGAACCTGTGAACCCATGAATCCTGGGCTGCCAAACCGGAGCACATGAACTTAACCACTACGCTATCAGGCCAGCCCCACTGGGATCCTCCTTTTGAAACACCTCTTGGAATCTAGGATCTAGCATTAGGGGGACCAGCTGTCCTGGTTTATGGGAGACTGAGGGGCTTCTTGGGATGTAGGAATTTCAAGGCTAAAACTGCAACATTCCTGGACAAATGGGATGGTTGGTCACCTAGATCTAGCACACTTTGTGCATAGAAGCTTTATCTTAGACTGTAGTTAAAATAAAGCTTTTTTTAAAAAAAATCAGGAGGACTAATTGGATCAAATGACTTCACCTGTGAAAATCAAAAGGCAGTTTTTTTGTTTTTTTTTTTTTTTTTATCTGTAAGTTTGCAATTTTCAGTGGGGAAAAAAATAGCACAATGCTCACCATTTTATTCTCCTTATAAGCAAAGCAGGACTTCAAACTCTGTTTGAGGGATGACCCCTTTTCAGAAATTAGAGGCACTGAATTTATTGCCAGCCAGTCATAGCTGTCCATCTGCTAATTCTCTCCACATAGAGGGAGCAGCTGTCATTTCAGAAATGCTACAGTAGATAATAAGATGGTGTGCATTTCATCTTCAAATGCTTAAAACAAATCCCTGTGAAGAGCAGCACCAGTTCCTCTGACTACATGAATCTCTGATATTTTTAACACAAATGCCAAATGGATTTGGAGATTGGAAGCACATGGATTTGCTTTAAAAGGAAAAGCACTCAAGTTAGGTGTAGTACACATTGTAATAATCTGCAATTGCATAGATATAGAATGGCTGAAGCCATAGGCACACACAGAGATACTCTCAAAATCACAGCCACTCATAGAGCCCTGGATGCAAAAACGAACATATGGGTCTCCCAAATCCATACAACCTATGTGTACTCAAGGAACTCATCATTGTCTCCATCCCTGCAAAACAAACAAAATTTAACCCCAAACTAACACCTTCCCTATCTCACATTGGCTCAATTTCTCTCCAAATCCATGTACTTTGATCATCTTAGATGCCATCCTTGCCTTTGTATTCTTTAACAGCTTAAAGTCCAATCAGCAATTTATATTTGTAATTCCTTTGCATCTTCTTAGATGATTTTTTTCTCTTCAGTCCCATTGTCTTTCACCTTTTAGCATGCTCAAGTCAACTGGCACTTATAACTGACCACAGCCTCTTGTCCAAGGTTCCTAGCCAAGATTCTTCTCTTTTCCAATCAACCTGTATATAGCTCCCTGATTATTCTTCATAAGGAAAAGAAATTAGGATCGGGTAAGGAACCAAGGAACATAGTCCAAGTGGTTCTATGCATCCCTGAGCACTATAGATATGGATGATGTAGATACAGATATAGATGGGGATGTGCATGTGGGTATAGGTATAGGTGGGGACATGTCATGGATATGTATATAGATGTGGATGTGACATGGATATAGATACAGGTGGAGATAAGTAATAGAGATATTTCTCCATGGAGATATCTATAATATATATCATTTCATTTGATCCTCAAAATAATCCTGGGAGGTAGGTTAGGTATACCAATATATTTTGCATGTGAGAATATTGACTCAAAGAGGCTCCAAAATCCCATACCTGGTGACAGAGGCTTATTCTGATTGCAGCACAAAACTTTATTTTTTGTATTTTTAGGAATTATAATCTAGAATGAATGGTATTTCTGCTATGTGGTAACCTATGAGCCTTTTCCATGTAGACATGGTCCCTGAACGTAGTCTCCACAGAGCATATGGAAAGAAGAGGTGGAGAAAGTTGACACAGGGTTGCTGGCTGTTGGACACACAGAATGCCTGCATCTTCATTTACACCAACAGAAATGCTCTTAAGGGTCCTCGACTGATTTCATCAATTTCGATGTTACAAGGAAAAAACAAATCCCGAGTATTGATGAGAATCCAGGTGAAGGCAAGGAGAATCACAGAGCACTTAAAGAGAATCCTGAGGTTCTGGGATGTTGTTCCTGCAAGAACCTTGATTTGAGAAAATAATTCATGTAAACACAGCAAATGTGCTCAGGAACAAGTCTGGGATGCCTGCTTCTTTCCGTTGCTATCGGCATTAAAGATCTGCTTCATATTTTATCTTCATCCTTGGTTGCCAGACAGAACAGATAAACCCTATTTCTAGATGTCATTCCTACTAAAAAGAGGAAGGGGGAAAAAAAAGCAGGAAAAGAACAAAATGTCAGAGAGGAAGATGCAAAAAACCTACCATTTCTCAAGTCAAAATATTTTAACGGTGAAATCGGGATAAATTATTAATCTAAAGATTTTCAGTTTCCAGTGATCTGTAAGAGAGGGCTGACAAGCAGCAGGAAACTAATATTTAAAGATAATTTCAGAAACATGAAGATGAAAAAGTGGTGAAAAGAGGAGGTTGGACCTTTTTCCTTCTACTTCCAAGATTTATTGAAAATAGTGGTTTTTTTTTTAAAAACAAAAAAAGTATCTGATTCTACATTTAAATGCTAGTGCATTTATTCATTCCAAATTATTTACTGAATACCAACTCTGAAATGGTTACCATCTTGGGGTTTTGATGGTAACAAAGAAACCGTTCTTGCCCCCAGGAAGCTCGAAGTCTTACGGGGAAAGCAAGAGAAGTTAAAAAAAAAAAAAAAAAAAAAAGAACCCATCTCAAATGGTTTTATAAGAACTCTCATTAAGGGGATGTCAGGATGCTATCGCAACACACAGGAGCAGAACGTAATGGCCTGGGGACTAGGGAAAGTTTCCCTGCAGGGCTGATCTCCTGAAAGTTGAATAGGTAGGAAGGGATGGAGCTGGGGGGAGTATTGACAATGCACCACAGGCACAAATGCTTCGAGGGAAACATAAGCAATTTGATTGAGCTGGAGTACAGAAGGACAAGGGCAGTAGGAGATGGGGGTTCGCAGGGCTAGGCCATCGAGATGCCATACTGCCCCTCCCACTCTGTGGCACCTTGCTTGTTAGCCCTATCGAGTAAATAACATCCTAGCAGGACTGCTGGGAGTCTCCCTTGAGCATGGGCTGCACTTGGTAATCTCTAGTGGTCTTGGGCTTTTAGGACAACCCCACCTGACAGCTCAGCATCTCAGCTTCTTTCCCTCTGAATTGAAGGCAGTGCTATTACTAATCAGCTGTGTCACGTTTGTAAAGTAACTCGATATTTTCAAATGTGGACATCTCCATTTCCCAAATGAAGGGATGTGTGATTTTGAGCTAATTTCTAGCTCTAATATTCCATGATGATGTCTTTGAAAAAGATACTGTGGCTCTGTGGGTAGATGTCAAGCTTTCTGTTCATCTGTATGGACAGAAAGGAAGCAGTGTGATAGGAGAAAGAGCTTTATTCTTTTTCAGAGGCAAACAGACTTGGATGTAAAGCCTAGATCTTAGTTATGTGATCTCGAGCCATTTATTTAATCATTTCTAAGCTTCAGTCTCTTCATTGGGGTGCAATAACATCCACCTGGCAGAGTTATTGGGCCAGCTGGAAATATCATATGCAACACACCCAGCATGATAGATTGAGCTCAACTTAATTATTTGTAGAATTGAAGGTCCCAGAGCCTAGAGAAATTTTCCAAATTTGTTCTCCATGGATGTATACAGCAGGGAACTACATCTCCCAAACTTTTTCTTAAAACACTGATAACCCAATATCAAGTCAAATATGGTTTCCAGTTCTTTTTGGGGCTGTGAATAATCACGACACTTTGGGAGCTTAAAGGACAGATCTGCAGCTTTCTGGACATCTGCAATTGAAGCCAATTGAGCAGAAGTCAGATTCATTAGTTTAATTGTTTGTCTTGTCGAGCTTTATTTTCTCAAGTTATTTTCTTCTAAATGTGTATTTATTTGCTTGTTTGTTCCCACAGTCACAGATGCTCACTGAGAGGAGAGGATTTGAACAGACAATGGCTCTCTCCCAGTGCTCATCTCCAGCCAACAATTTACCATGCCAAAGGACTCCTCTACTACCTGAGCAGCATCGGCCGGAGTCCTGTGGTGAGTCACTTCCTTCTGCCTCTATACTTTTTGCTGGTTCCATCTACCTTCCAGGAGGCAGATTACTTGCTATCAAAGCAAGAAAACCAAATACAAGCTCAGGACCTGTGTGTGACACGCTCTAATGGGGGATGTATTCATTTCCTAGGGCTGCCATAACAAAGTACCACAAACTGGGTGGCTTAAAATAACAGAAACCTATTCTGTCACATTTTTGGAGGCTAGAAGTCTGAAATCAAGGTGTGAGCAGACCAGGATCTCTCTGAAAGCTCTAGGAAAGAACCCTTCATTGCCTCTTCCTAGCATCTGGTGGTTGCCAGGAATCCTTAGTGTCCATCGGCTTCTGGCAGCACAACTCCAATTTCTGCCTCTGTCTTCACATGGCCATCTTTCCTCTATGTGTGTCTGTGTAGAAATTTCCCTCTTTTTATAAGGACAGCAGTCATTGGATTAGGGCCCACTCTAGTTCAGCATGGTCTCATCTTAATTTGATTACATCCACAAAAATCCTATTTCCAAATAAGGTCCCATTTACAGATACTGGGAATTCAAGCTTCAATATATTTCTTTGGGAGCTACAATTTAACCCACAACAGGGTTAACCCATTGGTTCAATACTTATTGGTGAAAACTGGGCAAGGAATTGCATTTCTTCCCATTTCCTGGATCTTTATTTTTCTGTTTTTTCAGTTATTGGTCAAGAAAGAAAAAGTATATACCTAGTAAATAGTGTTTGGAAAAAATCCTCTAGGTGTTCATATTCATGTTCAACTAGTAGTTATTAAATTCCAAGATGATTCTGGCACTGTTCTATGCATATTTCATATCTAGGCTTTTCTACCAAGCCTACAGCAACTGTGCAATTGATAAAGAACAGACTATTTGAAACCAGAGGCTTAGGCTCGAGATAAGAAAGGAGGCAATGGTAGCCAAGCAACTGTATGAAAACAATCATTTACTGACTACAAATTGTAAACATACCTGTCTGCATATGTCCAAATTTAGAGTGCTTACCTAAGCAAAGGAACTTAAAATAGCCTGGAGAAGCTCACAGATGGGCCAACTCAATCACCTCTACCATTAACCACTTTTTGACATATGCTGTGTGATCAAAACAGTGGCACATTCAGTGAATATCTATTGAAACAACGGATATCTAATATAGAATCTTATTTAAATCTCAAAAAGATTAGGTCAGTGATTTCCCTGAGGTCACTGGGAAGTGTATGGCATTGTTGAGATTCAGTTCTGATCTTTGTACCCTGTGACTCCATTTCTCTTCATCACTTACTCTTTGAGAGTGTTTTGGGGGTCCTCAAGACTATACTCAGGTTTAGTGATTCTCTGGAAGGACTCACCAAACTCAGAATAGCTGTTATCCTCATAATTATGGGGTATTACAGTAAAAGAATACAGATTGTAATCAGCAAAGGTAAAAGGCATGTAGGGCAGAGTCCAGGAGAGATAGGTGTAAGTTTTCAGGTGTCCACTCCCAGTGGAGTTGTTTGGACAATGCTTAATTCTCCAGCAATGATAATGTGATAACATGTAGAGTATTGCCAACCAGGGAAGCTCACCTGAACCTTGGTGTCTAGGAATTTTGTTGGGGTTCAGTTTGTAACCATGAAGTGCCCCACATGGCTGATCTTAGTAACTCAATCTCCAGCCCCTTCAGAGGTCAAACTGACACTTTGTGGCCCAAGACCACACCATAAATTACATTGTCACCATTAACCACCTGGCATGGCCCAAGCCCTCAGGTAAAGAAAGACACTCTTATCCAGAGGCATATTCCAGGGATATCATGGTGATCTACCACGAGCCAGTCAAGGGCCAGACCTTTCTTTGCAATGTGCAGAGTTTGAACACATCAGACTTGCTGAGTCAACCCTTTAGTGCAAAAAGAGCAAAACATACCCCTTCGCCCTAAGAATCCTTGTTCTACTCTGGTCAAAATGCTCAATATTTTCTGCTAAGCCTTACCTTCCCATTCAAGGAGAGGCGGTAATCTATTCTGTCTATCCTCTAGAAGCAAGTTCACAGCCCGCATAGCAGAGCACGAATCTCATGGTCAAGGCCTGGAAAAAGTGTGTTTTCTGAGTAGAAAGCCTTAGCCTCTGGAAGGAGAGAGAGACTTACAGGGAAAGAGGTCCCTACCTGATACACATTTAAACACACACATATTCAACCCTTAATAAACAGGATTCCTCTCTGCTCTGACAACTCTAATTGAAGAGCAGAACAATTATTTTAAACCATGACAGGTGAAAGGCTTGTTTAAAAATATAAATAAACATTAATTAGCTGTAAACATGACAGCCACAGACTTATTTCCTGCTGGGACCATCTGAGAGGTGGGCGAGAAACCGCTGAGTGCTAAATGCTATTCACAGTGTTACAAAGCTCTCTAATGGGTTCAACATCACCTTTTAGTTACCTATAAGGCTATATTTAACCAGCCTCCTGGGGCTAGCAGAAGCTCTGTCACTCATTCAGTACTCAGGCTTGTCCTGTAATGGGGAGATTTCCACTGTCAAGATTGACTCTTTGGCTACATGGTTGCAGATTAACTGTGACTCTACCCAGCCTCTGACTCTTATGAAAATATTTCCTGAACCATCGGGAAGCCACTTTCTGGTGGCTAGGAGGTTCTACCTATTCTTGATGGTACTCAGCCATCTGTCTAATGGTGGGTAGAATAATATGAACTCCTGGGACCAATGAAAATGTGAGACAGTGAGAGAAAGCAGTAACCTGATACTGCTGGGGATTGCTAAAGACCAGACAAGTTATTCAGTTTATAAGCAAGATGGCAATATTCACATATTGTTTCATCCATCATTCCATCCATCCACCCAACCATCTATCCATCCATCCACCCATGCGCCCACCTATCTCTCCATCCATCCACCCATCCATCTGTCCTTTCACGGATCTGGGCAGTCATCCATTCATTTACATGATGCATATATAATCAATCACTGTGCTAGGTGCCAGGGGGACAAAGCCAATTGAAAAAAAAAAAAAAGTCCTTTCCTTTGAAGAGTCCATAGTTTACTTTGGTAGAAAGTGGAGTCAAGTCTGCAAAGAAACCAATGTAGTATAAAATGGTAAAAACTGTAACAAAGTCTCGTGTGTGTTGTTGTAGGAACACAAATACGGGGATGAGTCGTTTTCCCTCGGAATTATGGAAAAGCTAGAGACTGGAGGTGCCATTTGAGCTGGGCTTGAAAGACGAGTAACAGTTTTCCTTGGTTTTTATTATAGTAAGGCTGAGGAATATTCTTCCTGCAGAGAGTCTACAGGCCTGACTATGATCTCTTAGATCTTCTGCTTTGTGAAATTGGAGTTCTGGCAGATTTTCTATGCTTGGGGTCACCACACAGGGCAAAGGAAAGGAAGCTTTTCATTATCTGGTGGCAGAGACTCATCTGATATCACACTGACCTTATGGTCCTTTTCCTGTTTTCTTTTTTTGCTGAGGAAGATTTACCCTGAGCTAATGTCTATGCCAATCTTCCTCTATTTTGTGGGTCGCCAACATGGCATGGCTGCCGATGAGTGGTGGTAGGTCTGTGCCTGGGAACCGAACCCGGGCCGCTGAAGTGGAGCACACTGAACTTAACCACTAGGCCACAGGGCTGGCCTTCTTATTTTCTTGAATTCCGATTTTTTGTCTGTCTTGTTTGTTAGAGGGTCAGGACATCTGCTCCAGATGTTGGATCCAAAAACCCAGAAACATAGTAAATATTGATATATTCCTACATTGGAAAGCTATTGGCAATAAAAAATAAAACAATGACAAAAATGAACTACTGATATACTAAACAACGTGGATGAACTTCAGAAACGTGTTGACTGAAGTACGCTAGACACTAAAGAGTATGTATACTATGTTTCTATTTATGTAAAGTTCAAAATCAGTAAATCTATAAAGATAGAAATCAGAAGAGTGGTTGCCTCTAGAAGGGTATTAACTAATAGGGGCCAGAAGGGAACTTTCTAGGTTAGTGGAAATTTTCTATATTTTGATTGAAGAGTGAATTACACGAAAACTCATTGACTTGTACATTCAAGATCTGTGCATTTCGCTCTGGGTACACACTTAGCTAATAACAGAAAGTTAAGGATAAATTAATCAAAGCAAAGTTACAGAGTGTTGAAATGCAACTAGGAGATAAAGGGGCTGCCCAAAATAAGACCTACAACTTAAAGGCATGCAGTTCAAGCCAAGGAAGACATCATTGCTAGAACAGAATAGAAAGGCTGTAGAAGAAGATCTATTTAGAAGTCAGAAAGATCCGGTCAGAGAAAAGGCACGCAAGCAGAGAAGCCCAAAGAAGCAGACAGGCCCAACAGTCAGCTAAGTGGGAGGCCTTGAATTGGTTCCTCTTTGTCGAGCTCCCCACAAGGTTAGGAGGCACCTAGGGGACAGTCAGGCACAGCTTAGGGGCATGGAGGAAAGCTCTCAGGCTCCAGCAAGCACCCGGGAAGCCAAGCCAACAGCCTCTTCTGAGTTGCTGTGTTGCAATGGGCATGGTCCCTGTGCCACTGCAAACACTCTGGGTTTCAGAATTAGGAGAGGCATCGATTCCCATCCTCTTGGCTCTCACTATGGGAGTGTGTGTTGGGAAAGGGATTTCAGTGCTCTTTGAAGAGCTCATTGATTTCCTTTTACAACTTGCACAAACTAAGCCGCTTTCTGCCAAGGGACAGGGCGGGCATATTTTGGTTTTATTTTTCTCTAGAGCCCAATGGAACAGAATTTTTAGCTACTTAAATGATTTTCCTGGTCTTATTCTGTCCCACTGGCATATGTTTTTAGTTAATCAGCTTCTTTTAAGAGAGGCACAAAAGGAGAGGGCAAGAAGGGATGGCATTTCCCATCCTAAAACCTTGTCTACAGGGGACTCAAGTTCATCTATACATACTATTTATTTTATCTCCACTTTATTCCCCAGAAGTGGCAGAAGAACAAGTGTTATTTTTGCTTATTTTCG